GACTACTACTACTACTACTACCACTACTACTACTACCACTACTACTACCACTACTAGTACTACCACTACCCCTGCTGCTGCTGCTGCTGCTGCTGCTACTACTACTACTACTGCTACTACTACTACTACTACTACTACTACTACTACTACTACCACTACCACTACTAGTACCACCACTACCACCACTACCACCACTACCACCACTACCACCACTACCACCTACCACTACTACCACCACCACTACCACCACCACTACCACCACCACTACCACCACCACTACCACTACCACTACCACTACCACTACGACTACGACTACGACTACGAGTACGACTACGACTACGACTACGACTACTACTACGACTACGACTCAAACTACGACTACGACTACTACTACTACTACTACTGCTACTACTACTGCTACTGCTACTACTACTACTACTACTACTACTACTACTACTAGTACTGGTACTAGGAGTAGTAGTAGTAGTACTACTACTAATAATAATAATGATAAACAATAATAATAAGAGTATTAATAATAGTACTCATTCTCATAAAAGATAAAAATGATAATAATAATAATACTAATAATAATAGTAACTATAATAATTATTATAAGACTAATCCTAATCATATCAATAATAATGCGAATTCAAATACCCACCCAAGGCGCCTGGAGGCCACAAAATCGACGAATCGACACCGGATACAAATAAACTCCAATCGCTCTGTTCTGGGCCCCCAGAGGGCCCAGGGGCGCCCTGAGGTCAGAAAGTCAACGAATCGATACCGGTTACAAATAAACTGTCGTCGTTGCGTTCCAGGCTCCCCCTCCTCGTCCTCCTCGTCCTCCTGGTCCTCCTCCTCCTCCTTTTCCTCCTCCTCCTCCTCCTCATCCTTCTCCTCCTCCTCCCCCCCCTGTCCTCCTCCTCCTTCTCCTCCTCCTCCTCCTCCTCCTTCTCTTCCCCTCCTCCTCCTGCGAGGATTTCAATCGGAATCCTTCTGCGGAGGATTTCAATGGGGATCCTTCCGTGATATCAGAAAAGCCGGACGAAAAGGAGGAGGAGGAGGAGGAGGAGGAGCTCCAGTGCCTGTATACACCATAGCGCTGGCAGCTACGAGCGCCGCGCTACGACCGACGCACCAATGCCTCTCAGAAACAAAACAACACTGCGTCCCTGAGAGCACCACGCGGCACGCACATAACCGCTTCTCTATCTCCCTCCTCCTCTCCTCCTCTCCTCTCCTCCTCCTCCTCCTCCTCCTCTCCTGCCTCCTCCTCCTCCTCTCCTCTCCTCTTCCTCCTCCCTGCGCTTCAAGCACCCAGTACAGCGTTCCGTGGCCCCAGAGGGGAGACTCCACCGAAGGCCCCAGTGCTACAGTCCACATGCGCCCCCCACATCCTTTCGCACACCCATCCGCTGCTTGGCGTTGTGTCCAATAGGAGCTCCACCGAAGGCCCCAGTGCCACCGTCCACATGGCGGCCCCCCCCCACAATACAACGCTTCGTGGCCCCATAGGGATCCCCAACGAAGGCCCCATTGCCACCGTCCACATCGTCCCCCCCACCTCAGTACAGCGGCTTGGTGGCCCAAGGGAGCACCACGCAGCCCCCAGTGGGACCGTCCGCAAGCGTCCCGAAACACCCATTGTGGCATTTTCACCCACCCAGTGCAGCGTTTCGTGGCCCCACAGGGAGCTCAACCGAAGGCCACAGTGGGACCGTCCGCAAGCGTCCCGAAACACCCATTGTGGCATTTTCACCCACCCAGTGCAGCGTTTCGTGGCCCCACAGGGAGCTCAACCGAAGGCCACAGTGGGACCGTCCGCAAGCGTCCCGAAACACCCATTGTGGCATTTTCACCCACCCAGTGCAGCGTTTCGTGGCCCCACAGGGAGCTCAACCGAAGGCCACAGTGGGACCGTCCGCAAGCGTCCCGAAACACCCATTGTGGCATTTTCACCCACCCAGTCCAAAATTTCGTGGCCCCGTAGGGAACTCCACCGAAGGCCCCAGTGCCACCGTCCGCATGCGTCCCGAAAATCCAACGTGGCATTTCTACCCACACAATACAGCGTTTCGTGGCCCCTTAGTGAGCTCCACCGAAGCCCCCAGTGGGACCGTCCGCATGCGTCCTGGAAGCCCAATTTGGCATTTTCACCACCCAGTACAGCGTTTCGTGGCCCTCTAGGGAGTTTCACCGAAGCCTCCAGTGGGACCGTCCGCATGCGTCCCGGAAGCCCAATTTGGCATTTTCACTTACCCAGTACAGCGCTTCGAGGCCCCATAGGGAGCTCCACCGAAGCCCCCAGTGCCACCGTCCGTATGCGTCCCGGAAACCTTACTTGACACACCACTCACCCAGAACAGCGTTCCCCCCCACTCAGTACAGCGCTTCGTGGCCCCATAGGGAGTTTCATCGAAGAAGATTTTCACAATTGCGGTACCCACAACTGCATATGGTTGGGTCCTTCGCCAGGATAATTCTTTGTTCTCTCTCTCTCTCTCTCTTTCTGGCCCAGGCCGTGCAAAGCGTGCCAAGTGGATCCTTGATTAATCTGGGATCTGGAAACTGAAGATGACCGAGGAGAGAGTGCGGGATCCTGCCTAGCCGGGTGGCGAATGCGCGCCTACCTCCAAGGCGGCGGTCACGCCGACGGAGATGAGGAGAAGGAGGAGGAGGAGGAGGAGGAGAAGGAGAAGGAGGAGGATGAGGCGGACGAGGGGGGGAGGAGGAGGAGGAAGAAGAGGAGGAGGAGGATGAGGAGGAGGAGGAGGAGGAGAAGCAGGAGGAGGAGGAGGAGGAGAAAGAGGAAGAATGAAGGAAGAGGAGGAGGAGTAGGCGAGTCGGAGGGAGGAGGAATAGGAGGAGGGGGGAGAATAGGAGAGAGGAGTGAGGAGGAGCAGAGGAAAGGAGGAGAGGGAGGAGGAGGAAGAGGCGAGAAAGAGGGGAGGAAGGGGGGGAAGAAGATGGGGAGAAGGAGATGGAGGCCGGCTCGCTGGCGCTTTGGGCCGCCCCGGCGGCCAGTGTGATCTGCTGCCTCTCCTCGTCCTGGTTGTCCAGCTCCTTGAGCAGCTTCGCCCTGGTCGCGGCGTCGACCCTGCCTCCGACGGCGACGTGCTCCTCAGGAAAGGGGACAAGGAAAGGGAGAAGGAAGGAGGAGGGAGGAGGAGGGAAAGGGGAGGCATCGACCTGGAATCGGCGATGCACTGCCGACAGGTCGGCGACGCCTCCGAGGCCTCGCGCTGCCACGACGGACAGCTTGTGGCGGTCTGCGGCCTCCGAGGGCGCTCACCAGGCCCCGGGACCGTCAAGAAGTGGCTCGACGGGAAGACCGGTCTCTGAGAAGGGGTGGGGTCCACGTTGCGAAAACATCGAGACGTCGGAATTCCGGTCGGGGATCCTCTGTCCTGCGTCAATCCCAGACCCGAGTCGGTCAGGCCTTGCAGGGTCCTGCAGCATCCCTGCACTCGAGCCCGGGTCGATGCGGAGCCTGCGCCCGAGCCCGGGCCACAGTGCGACCCTGGCCCTGCAGGATCCTGCCAGATCGGGCGCTCTGGCTGACCCCCGTTTGCATCGACCCCCCGTCTGTTCCTCCTCCTCCTCCTCCTCCTCCTCCTCCTCCTCCTCCTCCTCCTCCTCCTCCTTCCTCCCTCCCCTCCTCCTCCTCCTCCTCCTCCTCCTCCTCCTCCCTCCTCCTCCTCCTCCTCCTCCTCCTCCTCCTCTCATCCTCCTCCTCCTCCTCCTCCTCCTCCCCCCTCCCCCTCCTCCTCCCCCTCCCCCTCCATTCTCTCCCTCTTCTTCCTCCTCCTCCTCCTCCTCCTCCTCCTCCTCCTCCTCCTCTTCCTCCTCCTCTCCCCTCCCCCTCATCCTCCTCCCATCCCCTCCTCCTCCTCCTCCTCTCCTCCTCCTCCTCCTCCTCCTCCTCCTCTTCCTCCTCCTCCTCCTCCTCTCTTGCGCCCCGATCTGGGCAGGACAGCACGTGCCCGGGCGGGGTGGGGTGCCCGTGCTCCGAGCTGCCCCCCTTGGCCTTCGGGCCCCAGCTCACCCCTCTGGCGGCCGCTCGGGACGACCCGGCCGCCCCTGGAAGGCTCTCGGCGCGGCGCAGCCGTAGGAAGCCCCCCGAGGCCGGAAAACCGCCAAGAGCCGACGAAGACGTCCGAAAAGCTCGAACATCGAACCTGCCCCCCGGCGAGGCGCAACCGCCGGAAGCCCCCCGAGGCCGGAAAACCGCCAAGAACCGAGGAAGACGTCCGGAAGCCTCGAAGCTCGAACCCATCTCCCCCTCCCCCGAGCCTGCCTCCCCCACTCGGTGTCCCTGGCTCCTTCGCTTTTGGAAGCTCCTCCGCGAGCACCAGCTCGTCCTCGTCCTCGAGCAGCGGCGTGGGCTCCTGCGCCAGGCAGAGCACCTTCTGGGCTCGGTTGTCCTGCACGAAGTCCAGCCGCTCGATCACCCAGTGAAACCGCGCGTCCTTCATTGCAGGAATACAAAAAACTAAAGATCTGGGCGTTGCAGTTTGTTCACACCAAGCGTTTTCGCCTGGTCTCGGGTCCCAGGGCCATCTCAGATCGACCCAGCCGAACAATTTCAGGTGTATGGGGTCGAGAGTGGGAGGGTACAACACATATAAGCATGACTAAGCATAATAAGATCAGGGGGCCCAGATACAAACGAGTGGGCACTATAGATAAATAACAATACGCCATCGTCCCCGAGCGACGCTCATCTTACGACTCGCATCGCTCCTGTTACACCATCCATGGCGACCTCCGAAGTTGCCGATGCTGCCGCATCTGCGTCGTCATCGGTGGATTTGGAAAGCGAACTTGCGAAATACCTCCCCGAGGCGATGGAAGGTGCGACGGCTAGAAGCAGAAGGCTTCCGGGCACTCCAGTCGGCAAGCTCCTCAATCCGAACCCGTTCGAGGAGACTCCCAGGGCCGCGGTGCTAAGGCTCACCGCATCCACAGCCCACTCAACGAGATGGACGGGCTTGAGAAGACGGAAACTTTTCTACCGCCTCCCTTTCCTCCTCCATGAAGGACATCGCAAAGACGGCTCGGCCAACATGAAGGGCATCGCGAGCTTCATTCAGCAACAGCTCCAGCAGTAGCTAAGCCCAGTGACCTCAGCAATAGAAGACCTAAGGAACAGGATGGACAGCAATTTGACGAATCTAGACACGACCATTTCCGAACGTCTGAACTCCCTCGAAAACCTCATGAACATGACGGACGTCCGCGTGGAGAAAATGGAGATTCTATGCGAAGAACTCCGTGCGTACCAGTCTTCTTCCGGCGAGTCGCTCGAAAATAAGATCCGGGAGTGCATCGACAAGTACGTGGCAAAACGGCGCAGCAGCCAGCTGGCCAAGTGCGCATGGGTAGTATCATCGACAAGCGCACGGTGACGGCGACCGTCGGCAATTTGAGTGGCCTTTCCGACCTGATTGCTGAAAACAACGTGGCTGTAAGGCAAGCTTGCTTCTCTCTTGCGGGGCCTCGTCCAGACGAGGTCTACTCCCAAAGCGCTCTCAACATCACCTTCGCCGGGCTCCGCGACTCCGAGGCTCGGGACCTCGCCGTTGAACTCTTACGCCGGGCGGGCTTGATGTCAGGGGCGAGGCCGGTGTGGACAGGCCAGGACAGGTCCGCCACGGAGCGAGCTGCAAGAAATGTTTGCTTCGGGTTGAAACGGATGTTCAATAATGATGATGATGATGATGATGACGAAAATGATGATGATGACGACGATGATGACAATGACGATGACGATTACAATGATGATGATGTTGATGCTGATTATAATGATGATGCGGATGATGATGATGACGATGATGATGACGATGGTGATGAAGATGAAGATGATGATTATGATGATGATGATGCCGATGATGATGAATATTGATGATGATGACGATGATGATGATGACGATGACGATGATGATGGCGATGATGCCGATAATGATGATGATGACGACGATGATGTTAATGACGATGACGATGACAATGATGAAAATGATGATGATGATGATGATGATGGTGATGATGATGATGACGATGCCGATGATGATGACGACGACGATGATGATGATGACGATGCCGATGATGATGACGATGATGATGAATATGAAGATGAAGATGATGATGATGATGATGATGCTGATGATGATGATGATGAAGTCGAAAGTGAGCCTGGTAACTCAAATAGGGCATATAGCCTGTCATATAGCATCCGATTCCAAGGCGCTGACCGTGGACATCGGATGGCAAATAGCGTCCATCGCTCTGCTGTAGCTGTGAAGGTACAGTATGAGGGGTGGGCGGATAAGATAGGATAAGATCGATGTAATGATCTTTCCAGCACATAGCGAACACTCGCGGTGTCCGGGCAAATAGGGCGCGCGTGCCTTGAGCCCAAGGCAGCGGCGCGCGAACTATGCTCCCGATACTGTAACATCTCCCAAAGAGCTACCCTTAAAGTCGGGAGGGGAGGAGACGGAGAGCATAGTCGCACGCAAAGATCGCGCGCACGACTGTTTGCAAAGAAAAGAAAACAGTGCGTACAGTCTGGTCAAACACCAGACTGTAAGGCGAGTTTCCTCGCAAAGTATTTCACGCAAATACAGGACAGCCCCTTCAAACAATGAAGGGCTATCGGCTTAGTTAGAGGTAAGCCAAAATTAGGCCATACCTCACCAAGCAAATGTGTATTAAGGCAAAGAGCCTGAGTTGTACGAAGCCGGCTCGTTGCCAGGCGTGAAATATAAGGCTCGTTTCCGAGCAGCTAAAGGGGCGCCTTTATAGTAGGCGCCCGTGCTGGCAAACTGGACCGCGATGGCAACAAGGACAGACTAAAATTGATTAGACTTGGGTTTGTCTCTGTCCTCGGGACCCCGAAAGGGAACAAATTGCTTCACGTCATACTTAAATGACTGAGTGCCTGACATCACTTCCAGAAGCAGCTCCCGATCGATGCTTCCCTTTGTATGCCCATCTGCGGTCATATCCCTAGTATCACACCATTGCACGTTATGTACTATACCTATATCCATAAGCTCACGTATCCAACTGATATGTCCAAGCAGAGTCCGTTCTGTGGGTATTTTGAGATCCCTGCTTGATAAAGATTTGTAGACGGACTCAGCGTCTATGGTCAGAGAGACTTTGATAGCAAGGCCTCCAACTTCACGCATATCTCGTAGTTGTCGTGGAGTCAAGGCCCCTGCCTTAAGCTCATGGAGAGTAATGAGCGTAGGGTAACACTCATCAAGGTTATGTGCGGCTGCAAGTGCCTCCGCAGCATAACTGGATCTCACCTGTAATCGGTGTGATTTGCATAGTCCGTCACAGAGGTGAACGACGGACTTGCCTTGAGGCGAGTTTCCTCGCCGTAGTACGTTGGCCCCGCGTATGCCGTAGCCCTTGGTCTCGTCATCCTTCTCCCCGGTAAGCTTCCGATATCCCGAATCGCTGTGGATGTCGACTTCATTCGTCGGCTTCATCCGAAGGAAGGTGATACGTTTCGGACTGCTGATCAGCTTTCGCGTCACAGCATTCAAACGTCTGACTTGTAAATTGGTGGGCTCTTGAATTTTCTGATGAGAGACCACATATACCATAAGCCAGATTTGAGTAAGAAGGGCATAGGCGAGGGCTCCTCGCAGGCTGACGAACATGTCGGTAATGAGTTTCGTGGCTTTGGCGTCGGCCGCCGCTCCTGTAAGTTCTGGATGTGTGATGGGACGTAGTTGTTTGATATACTCGTCCTGGTCCATGATCACATCTCCCTGATCATTCTTGGTGTAGCGGACGGCACAGTTCGTATATGCGTGCTTGTTGAGCTTGCATTTGCCAAACACCTTTTCGACACGTTGTACATAGTCGTCGATATTTTTTCTAGACCTGTCATATTAATGTCATCGACATGTTTTGCAGTCAGAAGATCTTGGCTGAATTCAAATTCAGGATCGTAACTAGTCGGTGTAAGTCCTATAGCTCGTGTGGTCGTACGAAGTTTGAAAGAGAACGCTCTTGGGGCGTCCTGAGTACCCGTTCCTGGTTTGAGGCACCTAAGACAGTGTCGACTTTCGTCGTAGGATGAGAAGCCGGGTAGGGTACGAAGTACCTGAGCGCTTCCTGGTGGAAGAGTAAAGCAGACCATGCGAGTTTCCTCGCCAGTGGCATGGGCAAGTTCCTCGTAGGTCAAACCTTTTAGGAACGCCTTATCGATATCCATGGATGCTAAGATCCACTCTGGATGACATGCCGCTTCACTTGCCAAGAGTCGTTGAGACTGCCTTCGGGCGGTTCCCGAGAATGTTTCCACATCAAAGGCCTCAGTATCCATAAATCCACGAAGGACCAATCTGAGACGAATGGTTTTAACGTTCTCGGTGCCCATCTTTACGAACTTCCACTTGTATACATATCTGGATGTCATGATGTTGGAAGCTTTGGATAAGTCGTACATCTCAAAGCATCGGTTATCAATCCAGATCTTGAGCTCAGTATATAAGGCTTCACTAACCTCCTTTGGATGTGCTGCTATGTCGGCTTTGGTCAGTAGGTCGTCTTCTTTGACAACCACAGCACGTTTAGCAGCATTGGATACATATACTCTCATCGTTGCGACCATATCGGTATCGAGCTGTGCAAGTTGGGTCTGATCCAACACTATTTTTGACATTTCTGATGTAAAGCATAGTTCAACGTAAGGACCATATTCATCACTGTCTAGGGAATAGCTCTCGTCGTTTGTGTTCGAACAAAGAGATACTAGACAAGACTCACATGAGTTAGGCTCGTCTCCGAGCATATCTGATGATGTAATATCATCTTCGTCCGCAAATGCTGAAACCAAAACGCATTGGTTAGGCAGCATAGTTGTTGGGACGCAATAGAGATAATCATCTGTAATCGTCGTAGGATGAAGGTCCATACGTAGTTCGTCGTACCACTCTTCCAGCATCATGGCTTCGATATTGTGTTCCTCATTTTCCTCATAGATTGTCGACAGACGGCCTTCGCTAGGCGATGAAGCATCTGGTGTGTCTGGAGAAGGCCTGTTTCCAGGCGACTCGTGTTCTCCAGACGTGTTGCTTGGATGCTGATATTTAGCCAGGTCATCGTGAAATCCTAAGGAAGGGACACGTGAAGTCAAGCATTGAATAAGTCTGGAGTGAGTGCTACCAGTAATCTGAGAGATGTTTAGGCCGGTGCCCACACATTCATAGTAGTGGAACGCCGGGCTAATGTCATTGTCATAGTGGATCAGCGTAGACCCGGTGGCGTACTTTACTGCAGGTAGGCTTGACACACTCTTAGCCAATCGAACTGCTACTACATGTTCCACTCTGAAGTAATTTCGTACGAGATACTGTAGTGCTAGGTGTACGCGCGGGTGAAACTTGCTATCGTCTGACAGGTTAAGGTTTCCCTTGTAGTCGGGAATATACCCGAAAACTTTGGC